CAGGATAGGAAGCACATGCCCCACATGGATGCTATAGTGCATAAGATCCAGAGATACATTAACCACATCCCTACCACCCTGCCCCATGCAGTGACCTGTGACATTAAATTCAGAAACTACCTTATTGCAAAGGGCACAACCATAATAACATTGCTGACTTCTATGCTGCATAATGACAAAATTCTCCAGCCTGGCAATGTTTAACCCAGGCCATTTTCTGGATGAGAGTGGCAACTTTAAGATAAGTGATTATTTCAGCCTTTTTCAACAGGAAAATGGATGTGGTTGGGAGAGAGACTGGCCCACATGGAGTTGTTTCTGTTCCTAACTACCATTTTACAGAACTTTAACCTGAAATTTTGTTTGTTCCAAAGGACATTGACATGACTTGTACCAGCTTCACATCATTCCTGTCTGAAGGAGGTCAAAATACCTGGTTGTTCCTGTGCTGTTGTCTGCAATCCCTTCCTCTGGGGCTTCATCATTTCCTTCCCCCATCAAGGATGCCTTCTCTGAACTTTTTTTACATCTCCCCTTCCCTAAAGATCCAGGGAACACTCTGGGTCACTGCACAAACATATTTGTTATTCCTTATGCTCTGTAATCCTTATATTGACCACCCCAAGTGCTAATACTTATCTAATGCTGAGTTACTAGTATATCATCATTGTAACATACTGCAAAATGATTAATATATGATAATTTAGAACCATTTCTCTCCTGCATATTCTAAGTAAAAGTGTTATTGGGGGTTGAGGATATAGCTCAGCAGCAGAGCAGGTTATTCATTCATACTTCTTTATGGATAATCAAGGACCTGAGAAAAAAACAAAAAGCAAGAAACAAGGTAACAGCATACATACAATCTTGCTGGGAGTGATGGCACATGCCTGTAATCCCAGTGACTCAGGAGGCTCAGGCAGGAGGATTGGGAGTTCAAGAACAGCCTCAGCTGGTCATTCATGAATATATATGAATATATATATATATATATATATATAGGCTGGGAATGTGGCTCAGTGGTTAAGTGCCCCTGGATTCAATCCCCAGTACCTACCAAAAATAAATAATAAAAAGTGTTATTAACTGCTAAAAAACGAATAGTTCATAAAACAATATCTATTTTGCAAGAATTATATAAACAAAAGGATAAACATTGCCTATGGAGGAAGGAAAAAGGGATCGGGCTATGGTGATAAAAGATAAATAGGTAATTTTATTCTCTCTCTCTATCTCTTCCCCCGCCCTCTTTTCTCTTTCTAAAATTTTAAAATTTTGCTGTGCTGGGGGATGGAGCCCAGGTTTACTCACATGCTAGGCAAATCTCTAGAATTGAGTTATATCCCCAGCCCCTAGGTAATTTTTTTTTTTAAAGAGAGAGAGAGAATTTTTTTTTAAAGAGAGAGAGAGAGAGAGAGAGAGAGAGAGAGAGAGAATTTTTAATATTTATTTTTTAGTTCTCGGCGGACACAACATCTTTGTTGGTATGTGGTGCTGAGGATGGAACCCGGGCCGCACGCATGCCAGGCGAGCGTGCTACCGCCTGAGCCACATTCCCAGCCCAGGAATTTTTTTTAATATTTATTTTTTAGTTTTTGGCGGACACAACATCTTTGTTTGTATGTGGCGCTGAGGATCGAACCTGGGCGCACGCTTGAGGCACATCCCCAGTCCCGGCAAATATTTTTTAAAGTAAAATTCCAGTGGAACCTTGAAAAAAATGAGTAAAAAAGAAAAGGTAAGCCTCCTAGGTCTGCAAAATGATTAACCTAAGCTAAGGCCAAGAAGCAGGAGTATGCTGAGTAGATAAAGGTGAGAAGTATGATCTGATTTGGATCGGAGAGGCATAGGAAAATAAACTGGGAAGTGATGCTGAAAGAGAACTGGGTAAGATTATAAAGGTCTTGAAACCAGACAAAAGATCTTTTTTTTTTTTAATTTTAATTTTAATTTTAATTAATTTATTTTTTTAGTTGAGCCCAGGGGTATTTTACCACTGAGGTATGTGGAGGTATTGGAAAAAATATTTGATGAATACTGGCAAAATACAGACATTAATAGACAAGAATAAGTTAAGGAGTGCTACAAGATTTTAAATAGGAAGTTAGGAGTTGGGCACTGTGGCACATGCCTGTAATCCCAGAGACACAGGCTGAGGCAGGAGGATCACAACTTTAAGACCAAGCCTGGGTTTTCTTTTTTGTAGGGTTGGGATCCAACTCAGGTGTAGGGCAGACCCAAGATGGCTTCCTCACCAAGACTTTCAGTGAGCTGATTTAAGTATGTAGCCAAGGTCATAAATACCCTGTTCAGTATATGTACTCAAGGTCATAAACAGCTGCATGCTATCACTTATGTAATTTGTTGGCATCAAAGCTTCTTTGCTTGGCCTGCATATAATAAAGGCCTATGGAAAAATGGAGTTGGGGTAGAGGGCTGCAGTTCTTCTGAATAAAGTGCCGCAGTCTGGCTGGGCACAAATCACCGAGCAGCCACAAAAGCACTTGTATGTTCAAACAGGAAACTTTATTCCATGCACACTCCCTGGGAACTCTCTCTCCCTCCACCGGGCTCCGCTGGCGCTCTCCCCACCGAACTCCACCGGAACTCCAAAGTAGCAGGCGCCCAGGCAGCAAGAACCGCCCTATTGCACACATTTTAGAGTTAACCAGAAACCTTTTCCAGATGACAAAAGGGAGGACTAAAAAAGGTTTTGTTAATTGCCCAAAGTCAACCTATTAACTGGTGAAAGAATGATCTAGAACAAAGTTTTTCTTTCTTTCTTTTTTTTTTTTTTTTAAATCTTCCTCCAGTGCTGAGGATGGTTCCCAGGGTCTTGCGCATGCTAAGCATGCGTTCCACCATTGATTGAGCTATACCTCCCAACCCAGAACCATGTCTCTTAAATCCTAGTCCACTGAACTTTCCTAAAGCATGTTGTTTGAGGGGGCTTAGAAAATCAAGGCAATTTTCAATTCAGTTTTCTTGATTTGCTTGACAATAGTGGCCAATTTTTAACTAAGAGGATTCAGTCATTTTGTGACCAGCCCCTGCCAGCTCAGTTTCAAACCATATGTATATAAACTGTCTAGCTGACTGGACTTCTAAACAAAAACTCTTGTGTTTGTTTTACTAGTATTCACTTCTATATGACTGGACAGAGAGGACTGTCACTGATAGCCAGTTTTTTGTTTTTTTCTTTCTTTTCTTTCGGTAACAGGATCGAGGCACTTAACCACTGAGCCACATGCACCTGCGCTCCACCCCCTCCCTGCTTTTTTTGTATTTCGTTTAGAGACATGGTATCACTGAATTGCTTAGGGCTTCACTAAGTTGCTGAGACTGGCTTTGAACTTGTGAATCCTTCTGTGATGGCCAGTCATATCAGGCAATATTTTCATACTTCTTTATGGATAACCAAGATAAACAAGTGAGTTTCAGGAGTAAACTCTCTGTCTCAGCCTCCTGAGCAGCTGGGATTAAAGGCATGTATCACCATGCCTGGCAGTGCCATTTTTTTCAGAGTAAGAATCTGTCAGTGTTTTCTACCTTGGGGTTGGCCTTCCTGTCCTTGGCCATGCTCCTGCTCATGATCTTAATAGAACATGGTGCCCACCTGAACAAAGTTCTTCAATTGGGGTCCTAGTGGTGCAGACCACAGTAAGATCCCATGCTTCTTTGCCCAAGATGCTATTTCTCTTCAAGCTGCATCTGGTTCCTATAATTCCTTTGATAACCATATCACATTACTGCCTTAGCTCTATGAAAATTTCCAGGAAGTTTTCTAACCAACAAGTTCTAAGACTTCTACAGTTTGCACTTGTGTAGACCTTTTTTTTTAAAAAAATTCAAGAGCAAAGTTTTTATTAACTGAAAGTCTACAATGTGCTAAGTATTATGTTGAGTTCTGTGGACACAGGGATGACTAGGAAAGTGTCAACATACTAGAAATGTAAGCACCACAAGGTCTGTCTTGTCTACAAATGAATTCCCATTTATTGAGATAATGTCTGCACATGGTGTGTACTCACTATTTATTGAAAGAACAAATGTGTAAAATAGTTTACAGCTGAGGTTTTGCTGTAAAAGGCATTTTACTAATTCAGTTATTTTATAAATTCAGATATTTTGTACCAGCTCATCATAAGTTTCCTTTAGCCAAATCCTAAGGTTTTTGTTTTTATCCTAAGGTATACCAAATTTCCAAAATAAACTGTATGGTCTCTTTTTATGGCCAAAGAAAATACTTATATGCTTTATTTGCTGGGTGGTTATTGTATTTCACCACTGAAGGACTTCTCACTTCAGTCAGTGCAGGACTTACCTCTCAGGCTTAGGAATAACAGGCTTTACTTTCTAAGCGCTAAACACCGAGAATTTCCTGAGCTGAGTTTTATCTGCTCCTGACTTACTATGGGGGAGGAAAGGTGTGAGAAAGGTATGAGAGAATAGCTTAGGAGGATCTTGAAATTCTGCAATAATCTGTGAGCTGCTGCCACGTGCCCATTGGATCTGAAAGTATAGGTCTCAATCCTCCCGCAGGTGCCAGGTATTTGAAATGTGGGAGCGTATATGTTTCTAAAACCACCGTTAGGGCGGCTGAGGAACTCCGAGTCTTCCGTTTCTCCTAGTATCTGGGTTACAGGTGAGGGATTGGTCGCCATCTTGATATCAAATCCCCCACAAGCCGCCACCAGCGTCTCCCGGTAACCACGGAGACACGCATGCCCCGCCCTCCCCTCATCTATAAACTACAATTCCCACCAGCGGATTTCCTCGCCCAAACTGCGAGTCGTCTAGGTTTGGCTTGCCGGCTACCGCAACCCTGCCGCAGTGATCCGCGGGAGTTGCGGTTCTTGGCGTGGCCTCGCCTTTCTCCGAGGGACGCTCCAGAACTACAAGTCCCGTGAGCCAGCGGGTCACGCGCGTGCGGAGCCTCTGGTCCTTCTCGTCACCCCCGCTTGAGCCCGTGAGGTAGGAGAGGGCGGGGGGAAGGAAGAGGAGGCGGGATCCCTGCGCTGCGTTGGCTGCGGCCTGGCACCAAAGGGGCGGCCCCGGTGGAGAGAAGACCCAGTGGCCCTGGCGATTATGGACCCGGCCGAGGCGGTGCTGCAGGAGAAAGCGCTCAAGTTTATGGTGAGGAGACGGTGCAGGCTGGGGAACGACGGAGGCGGTGGCGTTAGAGACGTTTCTGAGCTTGGGCCTGGGCCGCTAGTCCACAGCGGGAGCGAGCAGAGGGACCCTTGGCCAAGGCTGGCGGCAGGGCGGCCGGAGGGACGGGACCCGAGCTCCAGGGAGGAGGCTGGGGGTGACGGAGGGGACCCATAGGTGGGGGCAGCTGCTCCGCCATCTTGTGGAAGAGAGGCCAAGTGACAGCAGGAGTTTATTGGAGGAGGGGGCTCCAGGCGGCGCGCGGGGCCCTGGAGGTAAAGGGGCGTGGGGACAGTTATCGAAGAGCTGAGGAAGCCTGGTGGAGAGGCGCCGTGGGGCCACTGCCAGGGCCATCCCCGTGTCAGGGTTACGGGTAAGGCGGAGGAAAGGAGGTGCATTCGGGAGTGGGGAATGGAAGCGAAGCATGGGAGAGTGGGAAGACAGATATTGGGGTGGGAGGTGGGGGGGACCGGCAGGCTGGATGCCTATGGGTTTAAAGGAGGAGGAAGGAAAGTCAGGGTCAGAGGGAGGCTTGTAAGTTTGTAGAACAAGGTTAGATAGCCTTTGCCTCGAGGATGAAATTCCAGCTCGTCCAAACTAATGTTGACAAACTCTGGAAAGGAAGGGGCCTTACTTAGGGAAGATAAGGACTGGGGACCTAGGGCTATGATGACAGTACTTGGGGGAGGTATGGTATGTTGATTGTGAGCCAGAATTACAAAGATCAGGAAAAGGGACACATACACTAGTTTGAAAGGAGGAGGCTAAATTATTGTAGTAAGTTAGAGGTGATGAAAAGAGGCTAACTGGTCAGGGAAACATGKGTACAGGGGATTGGACAAAACTAATATCTAATAGGGTAAAAGCCAAACCAAAACAAAAAACTTGTGCGGTAGTAAAATTTTGGAGACCCGGTGCAGTATATCACTTTTGGGAAAATGCAAGGAATTGGAGGTTAGAGTTGCAAAGACCCAACAGAAGTAATGATATTTATGRAGAAATTCAGGAGATGCAAATGGGGGATGTAGGTAGTGGGAAGTGTGAGATATCAGTTGGTGGTTATCCATCAGTTTTACATTCAAACAGTGTGAGTATAGATTACATTTTGTGGGTGTTTAAACCCCTTCCAACCTCTTTAACTTTGTATCATGCTTTTCTTTTGCTGTGCTTATATATGGCAAACTTGTATATGTATTCTGATATTTGATGCTTTTAATCTGATGCTTTTTGTATATCCCAGGTTTAAAGCCAGACTCTGTGTTATAACTAAATAATGGTGGAATGCACACTTTTAGCTTACCAGGTGGCTTTAGGGACTCTTATATTTGCAGTCAAGTCCTGCTTTTTCAGAAGTAATTGTGACCTGCCACTTTAAATCTTATTCCTTTAAGTAATTAAATAATACAAAATCGTGTCCTCACCTAAAGTACCATAATAAAGTAAACATGGATACCAACCCAATTGAATTTAGGCTTTAAACTTACCCATTTACAAGGATATTTTTGTAGAAATTGGTAAAATATAAACTTTGTTTATATCTGTACCTTTGAAAACACTTAATGAAAGTTTAAATGTATTATTGAGCCTGAAGATATTTTTTTGAATTTCTGCCAAATGTTGAAATTTAAAATAATAAGAGACCTTGAAATTATTTTGTATTTTAGAAATAAGTGAAAGTTGCCTGATAGCTATAGCAAACTTCTAGATTTAAGTTAGAAAAGTAGCAGCTTCTTATTTTGTTTTCCTGTTTAGAGGATTGAATCTTAATCCTAATCCTGACACTTAAGTCAGAGTTACAGAATAATGTGACTTACAGATCATAAAGAAACTTTTATGAGATCATCCCCCTCATTCCGCATTAGACCTCAGTCTAGGAACATTCTCAGCTACTTGATCTCTGCTTTGTACCATTGAGTTATGCTTTGATAATGGCCTCCTGACTGAGTTAAAGCGGACCTGGAGATGGTGGTGTAGTTTGCAACTTTTGGCACACCATACATTATTAAATATTGAGTCAATTTCTATAGGGAGAAGCCAACTTTTTCTATAATTTTAGTTATTTTCATTTTTGATCTTGCCTGCTGTAGTGGCTTTTGCTTGGAAAAAAAAGTCAACTGGAAGAGGGTCACCAAGAATGACACTTTAGTAAGAAAAACAGAGAATGGAGTTAGAGATTTGGTATTCTCTTTCAGCTCAGTAACAAGACTTATTATGAATCTGAGTAAGTTACAACTTTCCTTTGGTGCCATTTTCCCTGATATAACATGCTTATTTTTTCAGAGTTGATTTTGAGGTAGGACGATATTTATATTTGAGCTTTTCTCTAAGTAGCCAGTGTAAAGTATACATAGAAGGGTTATCATTTTAATCAAATTGATCTTTTTTCATAGTATTGCCTTTGTTCTGGCTTTGTTTATCCTTTCCTTCAATTGTGAGTTAGCTAATAACAACTTTGGTACAGATGCCTTGATTTCCATACTTTAAAAAAATATAGCCAGGTGCGGTGGCACCCTGCCTAGAATCCCAGCAACTCAGGAAGCTGAAGCCTCAGCAGGAGGATTGCAAGTTCAAAGCCAGCCTCAGCAATTTAGTGAGGCTCTAAGCAACTAAGCGAGACCCTGTCTCTAAATAAAATATTAAAAAAGGCTGGGGATGTGGCTCAGTGGTTGAGTGCCCCTGGGTTCAATCTCTGGTATAAATAAATAAATAAATAAATAAATTGTTTAGAATGCTCACATGAAATGGATATCTCATGAAAATGTGCATCTCCACATTAATGTGGTGCTTTGATTAGGACTTTTACTATGAAATCTTATTAATGAGATTGCTAATTTGGAGTTGACCATACATTATTATGTATGACCGTAATTATACATGACCTAAAACTAGCCAATGAGTACTTGTGAAGAGTGGTATAAGCAGATTGTTTATATCAGTTGGGTGATTGGACCCAAGAGGCACTTTACCAATGAGCTACCCCACCAGCCCTTTTTATTTTTTATTTTGGAACAGGGTCAGGCTACCTGGCTGAGGGTCTTGCTAAATTCCTGAGACTAGCATCAAACTTGTCATCCTCCTTCTTCTGCCTCCTGAGTTGCTGGCATTATAGGTAAACAGCTATTACTACTTCTTCTTGTTTAGATTAACTTCTAAGAAAAAAATAAATGATTTGAAAGGAGTAATTTAGGGCTGGACTTGTAGCTCAGTGGTAGAACTCTTGCCTGGCATGTGTGAGGTACTGGGTTTAATTCTCAGCACTGCATAAAAAATAAATAAATAAAAGTCCATTGACAACTAAAAAAATGTTTTGTTTTTTTTTAAAGAGTAGTTTACATGAAATAACTTATGTGCTAACCTCTCTCATCCTGCTTCATCAGGCCCTCAAGAACCTTTCCTAAAAGTAATTTCCCTGGTCAGCCATTCTTAAACCTCAGAAAGGATAATGAGGAACTGGAAGAGGACCTGGGTAGGAAAATGAAAATGATCCATGAAATATAAACCCAGTTTTATATATATGGGTTCCATTCCCCATTTATTTTTAAAAAGCTGAGGAAGAGGGGCTGGGGATGTGGCTCAAGCGGTAGCGCGCTCACCCGACAGGCGTGCGGCCCGGGTTCGATCCTCAGCACTACATACAAACAAAGATGTTGTGTCCGCCGAGATAAAAAATAAATACTAAAAAATTCTCTCTCTCTCTCTCTCTCTCTCTCTCTCTCTCTCTCCCCCCCCCTCTCCCTCTCCCTCTCTCTCTCTCTCTCCCACTCTTTCTAAAAAAAAAAAAAAAAAAGCTGAGGAAGAAATTGATGTTTGTTTATTTATTTATTAGTACTGGGGATTGAACCCAAATGGTTAGGAGTGATTAACTACAGAGTCACATTCCAAACCTTTTATTTATTTTTTTTAATTTTGAGACCCGGTCTTGCTGAGTTGCTTAGGGCCTCACTAGTTGCTGAGGATGGTCTCAAACTTGCCATCCTCCTCCATATTTTCTCGACTCACTGGGATTATAGGCATATGCATGGCTTTTCGTTTATTTTTTAACGGATAAATATATTCTTGTCCAATCAGTCCCAGAATCAAACAGAGAAACACTTGAAATGGAAATGAAATAATTTTAGGACATACAAAAATAATTTGTGATGCTGGGATTAAACCTAGGGCCTAGGGCATGCTAGGTAAGCACTTTACCACTGAGCTAATTTCCCAATTCTCATAAAGTTTTTTATGGAGTTGACAAGTAAAATGATATAAAAGATAAATGTATTGCTGTGTAACAAACCACCCTCAAATTTAGTAGCTTAAAAAAAATCAAAATTTATTTATTTTTTTTGTAGGTAGTGGAGTGTGAATGGCTCTACCACTAGTTCAATAGCTCTACCACTGAGTAACATCCCTAGCCCTTTTTATTTTTTATTTTGAGATGGTCCTGCTAAATTGCCTAGACTGGCCTCAAATTCATGATTCTTCTGCTTCAGCTCACGAGTTGCTGGAATTATAGACATGTGCCACCATGCCTGGCAAATTTGGTGGTTTTTATACTTCACATGGTGTTGGCTGGTGCCTTCATGTTTGGAACTTACAAAATGGCCACATTCACATGACTGATCACTGCAGCTAGGGCTAAAGGCCTTCTGTGTGCTATATGAATCTCTCCTTTTGCTCCTTGGGTTTCCTTAAATCATGGTGGTTGTGTTCTAAGAAGGAGCGTTGCAGGATATAGAATGTAGCATCTGTGAGTCATCTTAAATCCTGGGATTTGAAAATCCAAGGAATGTCACTATTTGTCAGATCCAGTCGAGGCTAACCCAAAGTGAGAGCGATTGGGGGAAATAATCTCTATTAATGTGAAGAGTGGCATGCATAAGCATGGAGGAGGGGATTGCTGGGAGCAATCTTTTACCATAGATGATATTCTAGTTGGATGCTCAGACTAAAAAACCAAATGAGATCAGCCAAGTTTGTGGATAATAACACCAGGAATGCTT